TGCATGAAGTAGCCCGACCCATTGTGACTAAAGCAGAGCTCAGTCTAAAAACTATGCTTTCGGTATTCAAGTCGATCTTTAGCCTCGTGCTTACCTGAAGTCAAGAGTTGTGGAACGTGAATGAAATGTTTCGAACCCGGGTACAAGCTGCTGAAATGGGCTTTCTCAGACGAGTCGCTGGCCTTACGCGTCTCGAAATGGTCCGGAATACAGACATCCGCGAGAGCCTTGGTGAACAGCCGCTGTTTCTTCAGACTGAAAATTCACAGTCTCGATGGTCTGGGAATGTGTTGCGAATGCCTCTAGAACAGAAAGCGAAGCAACGACTGCTTCCCCAGCCGACCAGCAGAAGGCCCAAAGGACGTTAAGCCTGGTGCAAATAATGTTAGGAGTCTGTTCCAGACTCCAGTTTTCTTCTGCCAAAGCTCAGATTCTGGCACAGGATTGGGAACGTTGGAAGCACTGTCTGATACGTGCGTCTCCGCGACTGAAATGGATAAGCGGCCATGAAAAATGAAGAGATATATCCATTTATTATTTCAATATCTTTGCAACAGGCAAAGGCACAAAGGCTAGTGTTTGAATCTGCCTGTCATTCATTAAAAACTCGTTATCAAATTTTTACGATCTTGTCCAAACACCAAAAACATTCATAATGACCAAGAAAAGCCACCAACATCAAAACAGCTTATGAAGCAAAAAATGGGAAGATAAATTCACTATTTACTTTCCCTACTCACAGGAGGCTCGTCATCTTAAGACGCAAGATCGTAACGAACCTGCTGCGCGCTCCATAATCCGAACTACACTGTCAATTACTAATGAATTAATATTTGCAAATGAAAATCAGAATTTACATATTTCTATGAAAACGTGTTTTGAAAAACACGTACTACCACTATAGGAGTTTAGTGGAACTTCTAAAATGACAACAGACACTTTGACAACCATGGTGCGTGGGAAGGTCGATGTCAAATCACTATGAAGTAGTAACAGACAGTAAGTGAAGCTAGTGAATGGGTACAGAACTGAATTTCATGAATTTTAACATGGATTTCCAACTAAAAGGCGGACGCAACTGGGACAGACCCATCTGTGCGAAATTCTGGTGGTAAAACTTCATACATCATGACAAGACAGTGTTGCGATCAGCGCTATTCGTCGCTGAATACCGGCCATCCGTGTGGTGATGCATATCTCAGATAATTAAATTTAAATGCAGTTACCAATATTTATTTCACTCTATGGGGTGAATTTGCGGAGGAACCCGGGCCTTATGTTTTTCAAACCTCAGTTTATTTTACCTGTCAAACTGTGCTCGAGTCTTTCAATCAGGCAAGAAAGAACGCAGATCTAAACCATGATGAACATAAGGCAATGTTGAAGTCAGCTCGGTGAAAGTTGGGAGAGAAGACT